GGGTTAGTTTCGAATTAAGTTTTTAAAAAGGGTCAATTTATCAAAAAAAGGGAAAAATTACTCCCTAGTAGATATACATACGGACAGTTACACAGTCGTACTACTAGTAGCACCCACTCATTCACTCGTCTCGCTCACCTTTTACCCCACCTATACTACCAGTAGTACCAGCACGTATTTCTCGCTCGTTTACTCCGGCCACTACAGGCTCTCTGGAGCCCGGCTGATTTACCACCCAGATCGATCTCTGGAGAGCCTGGAGCGTAGTATGGGTTTCGCCTGCCGATGCGTCAGATTGATCGCTACCAGAGCCGATCCCGTATGAGTGAATGCAGGCTGCTGCTGCTGCTCTACGTGCTTTCCCGTGGCTGTAACGCGGGCCGGGGGAGTACTACGTGCCGGAGCCGAACGGTCGCCCTCTGTTTTTTGCAATCCTTACCACCGGGCTGCCTGCCCTGCCCTGCTGCGCTATCTGCATCCGGCCTGGCCGTGCAGGTGGTCCATCCAGAGTCCAGGAGATCGATCGAGGGAGCGAGAAGGAGTCAAGCCGGTGCCGAGGAAGCTAGGAACGGGTCGCCTCTGCAGCGGATGGAGTTGGCAGGAGAAAGGATATGGTGATGTTGTCGTAGCGGCGGTACGTGTAAGTATGTACGTACTCCCACATCTCGTGATCATGCCTGCGTTCGCTGCTCCCCTCTCTGGTTGCTCCTTTGGCTGTTTTCTCCATGGAGACAGTTTGCTTTAGTTGGTGTTCTGGTCTAACGAAGATAAACTTCATGTTAGGACATGAAAAAAAAATAAGAAAGTCATTTACACACGATTAACTAAGTTTTAAAATAACTTTTATATTTGAAAGCTTTCACAAAACACACCGTTTACTAGTTTAAAAAAATATACTAACAGAAACAGAGATAAAATACATTTCTTAATTAAAAAAACCACTTTACTCTCTCTCGTCGTGTACTCCTGCTGACATTTTTCTTTCTTCTTCGGTCTCTTTGTTCTTGACAGTTGACACCAACTTCGTTTGCTACTCTGAATTTAGAGCGTTTTGCTCATCAGCAAAGTTGAAATAATGCACACCAACACGGTGCCTGCATTTCTCAGGTGGAAGTGTAACCCGGGCCGGTTAATTACAGGTCGAGTAGTAAAATGGCACCCAGTTGCCATGTGTGCTGATCTAGCTATACATTACTCCTACGTGTCTGGCTCTACGTACGTACAGCTAGGCCATTTTGCCTTTGTCGTTTCCGATGGGAAACTACACGACCTACTTGCAGTTGTCAACTTGTCAAGTACTCCATACACGCACTTGCCGGTGTTCGACGGCATGGCGACGGCAAGGGTGTATCGAGGCGCCCCAAAAAAACAAGCCTCGGAGAGCTCGCCCTTTGCCCGATCGAACCAAATACTTGTATAGCTGCATTTTATACTGTACTGATCTCTATTATACTCGTGCATTGATGCGTAGTAAGCTGGAGTGTTAATGTAGCATCAAGTGCCGGCCACTTGTTTAGTAGGAGTAACTAAATTAGTACTCCGTAGTACTCTACGTGGTTAGAGATCACAATCTGAGGAGGAACGTGCATGCAAATAGTGTGAGAGCTAGGAGACAAGCGCTGGCTGCGCCGTACCGGTAACCCATCTGGTCGATCCGTGCATGGCGCAACTTCTTTCTTTCTTTTTTTTTTTTTTACCCTTTCGCTTTCTCTCTGCTTCTTTTCCGGTGAAGATTTTCTCGGCCTCTCTTCCTGACCAAGATCAACACATACAAGTGTGCTATACCAACGAGAGGAAAAAGAAAAGAGGAAACGAAAAGAAAAGGGGAAAAAAATAAAGGGAGAAAGGCTGTCGAGTGTCTAGGCAATTCATCACGTATTTCGATCTGGTTGGTTGCTCTGTTTCCTTGGTTTTGTGTGAAATGGAAGAGATGATAGGTCGCCACTCAGCAATGCACACACACTATGGTAGTAGTACTAGTAACTGCCGAGTACGGAGAGTCAGTAGAAAGTGAAAAAAGGAGTGCAGATTATGTGATGGAACAGAAGGGTGATTTTGTGCAGGTTTTTTTGCAGCGTGGCAGAAACTGGCACGAGTCAACTCTTGCTAGGGGAAGGATCATAATCGTCTGCTTGCTTGTGTCCGGAGTCACGCAGCATTCAACGATCGATTACTGGGTCTCCAATTGGAAGGCCGTGATTTACGAGAATTGTTCAAGTGCTTGCACGGATAAATAAAAATAGTATTAACAATGTAGTGATGAATGGTTAGAGCAAAAAAGAAATGCATAATAGGTGTGGCCAATGCATGGATTGCGTGCTTTAGCTACTCAAATTTTTCTGTTAAGTCAAGTGGTATTCATGTGTATTAGGCCAAAATCCTTAGCTAGCTAGCTCATGGGTGGATCGAATCATCATGAGCATGACTGCATCCATGCATTTTGACATGTTGCAGCGGCTATCAGGTAGCATTTACAGTTTGTTAATCTGCCACGACCGCATAGTTGCATTAGGTGCACGATCGATAGATACGGTCCGAATCTTCGAGGAAGCAACGTTGAAAGGGCAGGCTTAAGGCTGACTGAGAAATCGGTCCAATTGTTGGGAAAATCCAGTGTTTTAAGCTGCAGGTACTTGGCGTATCGTTATTATTTATTTATTGGATCCTTTCCAGCCAAGCATACCAAATGCTAGCATGACTATACTTTTCTTTCTTCTCCATTTTTTTAATAAAAAAACATCATACCCTAACAATCTCACATTTTCTTTCAAGATACCTTGTACTACTGTTGTATGAAATACATGGAGTATGGTTTTTCAACTGGATGAAAATATTGGCAGCGCATATATATTGGATTGCAAGCAGGCAGGATTGATAGGACTACACGTGCGACCAAGAGATGCATATGCACATTTCAGCGCACTGTCTAGACAGGAGCAAGAGGGGATAACAGTGAGAAACCTGTACAAGGAGTCGAGGATGCTTCAGTCCAAAAACAACCAAACCATGCATATACCAACAAATTGCTCGCAGATACATATAACAAGAACTGCTAGTCCTCGAGCACATACCCAATTATTATGTGTGCAACAAACAGTTCAAAGGCCTTATCTCCTTGTCATTGGCAAGATGGCTAGGTAGCTACTACTCTCTAGGCAATAGAGCATCGATCCTAGCTGCCGTTTTCTAGGGTTTTAGCTGGGGTGTTGTGCATTTTTTGGGAGGCTACATTACTTGTAGCCATGTGCCACAAGGAGCTTGGGGCTGAGGATATTCATGCACATAATCACACATAGTACATTTTTGGGATATATAGGACGGTGATGATGTGTTCACTAACCAATTCAAGTCATGTGTAGCTTGATATTATAACTGATAGGCATTGCTTGTCCTCTCCAACTAGCCATGTTCGAAATGGTTAGCCACCAAGCTCAACTCCTGTCGAGACCCGTTTGTTGCTAGGCAGGCGCTAGCCTCTGAGACCTAAGCTGTTCTTGGTCATTGCCATTGAGCTAATCAAAATTTGCCTGGATTAAATAAAAACATAGGCTTCGTACGCAAGATTACTTTTAAGTACTTCTATGATGCTTCGTGCTTTTGCTTACAATATGTATCACAACAGAGAAGGAACCATTTGGCACTTGACCAAAACCCAGGCCGAGGACGGCATTGGGTGAGAATGAGTATGAATAAGCTTATAAAAGCAGCATGTTTATCTTTGTAATGTTTAAATGTCAAACACAAGCAGGATTTTGTGATTCAAGGAACCAAAGGAAGTCGCAATGCAAACTAAAATGCATAGCTTCAGTTTCAGACAAGCAACACAAGTACAAAACACACCAGAAGCTTCATTCTCCCCATGGATAAGGTCCATCCATTCCAGTCCTTCAGACATGGAGAAAATAAACAAGGGCAATGCCTGCCTTTGGCTTTCCTATGGAGTAGCTCCTTTATGGCCAGTGACCGCCATGCTCATACAATACTAGGAAGGGTGTGCCCAAAAAGAAAAGTGCAACGAAGGACATAAAGCCTCAAGGAGTACCCTACTCATGTTTGCTTGTGCCCTAAAGTTCCCAAGGCTAAGCAAATGCCCCTCCTTTTTTTTCCTTACACCAAGCTCAAGCAAATATCATTTCAGACGACAAAATATTTGCCCCAATGTCTCCTATCATTCCCACTCATCTCTCACTCTCTGTCTCCTCCTTTTAGGTGGTTGCACTACTGCAAACCTTGTCTCGAATGTGTTCTTTTTCTGATTGAACTGGTCGGTTGCACTTTGATATGAACATCTCTCTCAAAAATTAGATAAATGATGTACCTATTGTGCATATACATGGACCAAAACCAAGCTTCAAGCATCATATAATCCTGTGTGGCCCATGGTAATTATGGAGTACTCTAGACTTCAAAAAGGACACCAAAGATAAAAGAGACTACATCATAATAATGCACACAGCCAGTGGAGCACGCATATCGTACAAGTATATCTTTACCTGGATTCTCCAAAGACCCAGTGTTGTTTGCAAGCTGAACTGACCTTTTCGACCTTTGGTTAATTGGGGTGTCAAACTGTGGCTACAAGTGGTTATCTATGGCCTAAAGCTAGTAGTGATATAGTAATAGTAACATGTAGTATATGACTAGTACTAATAAAGATGTATCATGACAAGGAAGACCTCTCTTGCCTATCCCAGATGGATTGATGAGACACCACCAAAGTCAGTCAGAAATGGCTATTGATGTCAACTGGATGTAGAAGATGTATGTTTTACTTCACAAACGACAATGGCAGGGAAAAAATTATACAATCTGGTCAGTAAGGCAAGGATGAGATGACTACTGTTCAGAGGGTATATGATAGAGTACTACGTAAAAGCTATACAGGAATAATAATGATAAGGGGACGTCTAAGATTGTGAGATAACAAAAGTCTTAAGCCTCAAGCAATACGAGAAATTGTACTGCTAAAAGAACCAACAGGTCAAATTGTACATGCCATATTCTCGGAAACATTGAGAAATTTATTTGGTTGTCAAAAAATAGTACAAGTCAAGAATCACTGTTCAAAAAAACATGAGCATCTCAAGCGACCATAATGTCTTTTAGGACTATGTTCCCATCTTTACATGAGTGGATATACTATAGCAAGAGAAAAATATGAAACTGGAAATCATGTGAACCTTTTCAATTTACATAAAGTGAGCAAATTTGTCTGAAATTGCTTAAGGTCAGATACCTTAAATGCTAATTGTCCTGATCTGTGCAAGATTCAAGATAAGAGATCACAAGGTCAGCAGCCTTGCTTCCTGAAGCTATAACATTTCCAACAGCCAACCCATCCTTGTTATTTCCTACAGATACAGAAAAAGCTTCAATTATTTTTTTGAAGTTAATTTCAAGGTAAAGTATTACATGCTGGGATTACAGTTCCTGGCTTGCTCTAGGAAACTCATCATTCTCAGCAAATCAAGGAGCCCCATAAGTTGCATGAGAAATACCAAATTGACTTACTAGAAACAGCAAATTATTCACGTACTCAATCAACAGGAATATGTTTCAAATATCTAAGATTTCTTTTGTACAATAGGGGTGCCTTCATTGACTTGCCTGCGTAAAAGAACCCTGGAAGATTGTTCTCCATTTTTGCTATAGCTTCCAGTACCAGATCATAATTCTGGCCATATAAAGGAAAAGCATTTCTCCAATGTACATGCCTGTGTAAAAGAACATCATATTGAATTCGCAAGTGGTAGTGCAAAAACCTGAATGAATCCTCAAAACTCCATAGTGATGGAAAACCATAACACAAGCACAACAAGAGAAAACATATAGATACTCTAAACCATGGCAGTAGTTTCTTATCACTTACTTCACAAAAGTAGGTTGTCCCTCAACACCCAAGAGCTTTCTTAGGTCAGAGGTCACAAGTTGTTTCAGAATAGCCCTACATAAGTATATATATCAGAAAAATCTAGCAAGAAAAGAAAAAACAACCAAAACATAAATGATCATAATATGGAAGTATACGTTGGAGCCCCAGCGAGGTCTCTATTATGGCTCCCCCCAATGAAAGATGTATATAGATATTGATCATTAGGAGCTCGATCTGGAAACATCATCGAGGAGAAGAGGGTCCCTGTACAAGACGACATGTATAGATTAGAATAAATAGAAATCAGAGTAAATAAGACCTGAGAAAAAGTAGAGCAATGTAGCAAGGTTGATTTGTATATTGAGTTCAATACAGCTAGCAGGGTGACCTGCGCAATTGCGCGGTGCACCAAATTTATCTAAATTTTTATATACGTTATTCTCTTTAAATTTTATTAAATAGTCATCTTGTTGTAATAGTATTTTAGAAAATCGAACCTTATCATCATGGAACCCTAGTCAGGCAGTAAGCGTGTAGTCCGCGAGCAATTACAACCAAGTGCTCAATTGGTCTGATCAACAGTTCAGATCCATGTTGAATTAGTACTATCTATTTATGTATCTGGTATTTGTTCATACTGAGTCCAAATATGATATATATTCAATCCATCAATCTCAACCATTAAAACTTGCACTTGCCAAAATCATAGGGTGTAAATATTTCTCTTTCCCCAATTAATGTGGGAATTTCTAGTCTCCACAGCGAACATGGTTTCTTCTTTCAAGGCTGTTTTAATAATTTTTAATTCGCAAATCAAAATATAAGCAGCTACAAGCTGGATAAAATATAAGTGTAAAGCTGAATTAACCTACCAAGGGTTTTGAGACCATGCTTTTGCTGTTCCTTATAGGGTATCAAGGCACCAAATCCTTCCAATGGTTTTTTGACATCTTCCTTCTTAAAAGCTGTTACCATGAGAGATAGTGGTAGATAATCGACCTGCATATAATAAATAAATATGGATTAAGATTTCTATGCATACTTGATAATTCTAAGGAGCCCAGCTAGGAGCTGCATAGTTTCAAGTTTGAGTACATCAAATAGATATGGATTAAGAGTAGACTTCTATGCATACTCGATAAATTCTAAGGATACCAGCTAGGAGCTGCATAGTTTGAGTATATCAAGTTAGTTAATCATTATGACAGAAATCAAAGTCCACCTATCTCATAATTCTGTAATATGGCAGCATATGTAGGCTGTGGCAGGCAAGCAGCTAACAATACCAGTTTGCTGTTGTATTTCCAATCACGTTCCAAATGCACATATATCTAAGGAAGAACACATTCAAATAATAGGGGAACTGGTACTACAAGGCATCTTAACATGTGGAAGACAATCCCATAAGGTGCAGAATATGGGAAACAAGAAAAGGTGACGAAAGGTATGTCTTCACAGCGGAGAAGTAACCAAGCAATAATACCATTGTTACAATAATTGTGTATTCATGCCAGTAAAATAAAGTCTGGCATCTCCAGCATAAAGTTCCATATTCAATTCAGTACATGTTCAACATATAATGTTACTTGTTTTGATTGGGAATGGAAAATTTACTTAAAAATCACCAGGTGCTGCTATACAAATGACTGTTACTTTAATACACTGTTCAAAACAGTGGTGAAAGTTTCAAACAAGTGGCCTTTGGAAACAATAGTTTCCGTTGCCTTCTCAAATAAACCATATTGCTGATGAACTGCTGATATGCTCAGATTCAAGGGAGTGATGATTGACTCCTGTAAATTCACAAACTAAGAGACAGTCTTACATATATAATAGAAATCTAGAAGATAAACAAAATATTTTCTGTGACATGGATCCATCGACCTAATGGATGAAATTAAATGCAATTTGAAGGATTAAGAGGAATTTCCCCCAGCACAAATTTCTCAAGAACATGCTAGTGCAACACTGCATTTGTTAAATCTAAAAGAGTGATTCTAACCTGACCTTAGGAAGAAAGTCTAGCACAAAGGGAACTCCACCTTTTGTAAACTTCATCCTCTGGACATTAGACAATGGAGCCTAAAGGGGCAAAAAGAAAAACACGGTAAAATATTTTAATTTGTGGCTGTCAAATGATCAAGCTTCTAAAGAGATGAATACAGATAATTTTTTTCTTACAGTCATTATAACAGCATCGAAAGATTGGTTCTTTCTGAGATCTTTCCCTTTAGCATCTTTTGAATCAACAGAAATTGACCAACCACCAGAAGAAGAGACTCCATCACAGCAACATGCCAATGACAACACTTCTGTACCAAGCTTCACGTTACCATCTCCAACTTCATTGTGAAGTGCATCTATTAGTGACTGAAAAGCAATGAACAACATAAAACCTTTACACACCCAGATGTTATGTAGTATAACTGTGAAACTTTTCAGCATGTTTAGCGTGCAGGGCAAGTATCGCAACTCCCAATTAATAAAGTATACTACACGATAATATTTCCCAAAATGTCATCTTCTGAGATTATTCGCTATCACTACCATTCACACTATTTAGTGGTGTCTAAGGCTCTTGGTATGTTTTATTCTTATAGCAGATTTGGCTCGTGTGATACTTCTGTTGCATATCCTGTACTTATCAGTAGCTTTGAGTTTTTTGTTCGATCTAGCTTCAACCTAACTTATGCAACATAATAAGCTCATGTCAGGCTGATAAAAAAAATGATTATGGCAGGATCAGGGTGCAGATGGATGGATAAGCTTGGCTGGATCATAAATATAAAGCAGGACATCAAATCAAAAAAAAAAAAAACAAGACAGTTTTCTCTGGCCTGTAAGACTTCTTAAAGCAGCAATGAAGTTTCACCGACTAAACATATGTCCTAGTTGCAGGAAAATAACAGGTCTTCAATTCACAACATATGAATTCGGCATTTTTTAGTGGCATGTAGAATTGCTCAAACTAAAGTTCAGGGTTTATCACTGTCTTTGATATCTTTGACACTGACAAAAGAAACTACAGGACATCTGTGGAGTACCTGCATTCCACCATGAAATGAAAATGACACACGTTTATTCCTTCCTTTCCCTGGCGAAGCACCTCCTGTCTTCACTGAATCACCCTTAGTGGATAGTTTGGACAAGATGGCACCAGCAATGACAGAGCCATACCTGTGAGCATTGAAAGTGCATGGAGCAACAAATTATGAAGAAGATGACCAAAGAACATAACTGGGCACTAATGGCTTGTTTGGCAACTTGAGGGAAGGGGATTGGGAGTTTACACGAGGGAATTGATGGTGAGATTAAGATGGGAATTTGATTTTTAATCCCAATATCTTGTTTGGCAGAGGTGGTGGAAATTGACAGGAAGTTTAGTTGGAGATTAGGTCATTAATGAAAACGGATGGCTGAGATTTGTTTAGGCAAAGTAAAGGAGGAATTCCCTCCCAATTACCACCCCCTACCCAGGTATTGAAAAGGAGGGAGTTCCTTCCTCAATTCCCCATCTCCATCCCACCAAAATTCCCATCTCTCCCAACCAAACAAAACAGTTAATAGCTCCATCCCTCTAAACTCCCAATCCCTCCTAAAAACTCCCTCCAACCAAACGGACCGTAAAGAAATGTTGTTGACCATATTTATTGCAATAGAAGTGTTGTAGGGTAAATTAAGTGGAAACCCAAAGAAGCAATTATGCCTATTTTGACTCTACAAGCTCATATAGTTAACTATCATGGCCCATGAAGGAAAAAAAATTATATACTTATGAATAAATTTAGATTCTATTCTAGGTCCAATGGTCCACATGTAAGAAGCCTTTGAAGCTTGTATAGTTGCATGAGTGGTACCAGAATTTCCTTCCATCGTTTATCAGATAAATTTAACTTACAAATTAGATCATGTTATGCTCCAACGAATTGAACATATAGCAATTGGACTTATGTTCAAGATCTTAAATTCTTGATACATATACCCACTGCATTCAACTGCCATGATTTTTTATTTTGACATCATGTTTTTTTAATTTCGATTGCCAAAAATAAGTATTAATGATACCATGACTATAAAATACTAAAAATCATAACATTAACTTCAAGTAGGTGCATATCAGGTTAACAAATAATAAGCAGTAAGGACTGAGAGCACCATCTGTCCAATGAAAAAATGATAGAAAAGAAATAGGTAACAGCAGGAACCAAAAACAAGCTAACAGCAGGAGCCCAAAAAAGAGATGCAAGCAACAAGGATAAATGAAATCATTAAAATGCACTATGCAGTAAATTCACATGGCGGTGTTGACATTTGAATGGACAGGATATAGCACGAGCATATGGACGTGGACAAGTGAATTATTGATAAGGTAAATCTTGAATGAACATCAATGCACAAACTACAAACTTACTTATTCTCCAAACAAACTACTACAAACTTACTTATTCTCCAAATTCCATAATGCTGGAAATGCATGACGAATCTGCACAGAAGAAAATATTACTCAAAACCAGAACAGTTCTACACAAGAAGGTGATATGTTTTGATCATTATGAATGAGAATTGTTATGACTTACTGATACGGCTCAAGGAGATTAGCCCCCAAAAGTTCTAGCCGTATCAGTTATCATCCCCAAGAACACATCACAAAGTCAAGCACATATGTTGTTTATACGCACAATTTACATAAAAATAATTATGACTACAATTTACTGTAGAAATGCAAAGGTGCTGATATGGAAAATGCAAATAGTGAGACATGTTATAATAACTTACTGATAATGACTCAGGATCTCCTCCGCTTGTTCCAGCCACAAATGGATCAATAAGATAATCAACAACCTGTAATAAAGTTATAAATTCTTACCCTCTACTGATTATAATGGGCATGTAAGTTGCAAAGTGTTGATTGTATTCACTTAACAATCCATAAATTTCTTCATTAAAAATGAACTTGCCTCTTTTCCAAAGTGGCGTTCAAAGAAACTTGCAACACTGCAAAAGAGAAACCTGATTATCTCTACATATACACAGAAAAATCACACTGCAAATGTATTCTCTCTGGTCAGAAAACATGCTGTTTTTGACATCAATAAGGTCTTCAAAGTGTAGCTTTGACCACTAAATTCTGTTGCAACGTATATGAAAAAAATGGTAAAATCATAATATTATGAAAATACTTTCTCATGCGTTCAATCTAAATATTGAACTGATTTTATGTACAAAGTTTTAAAAGTTTGACATGAAAAATGACCAAAGGGAGTGTGTGATATGAAGTATATATTTGTATTTCACAAGGGCATGAGAATGAAGGAAGAACACAGGAAAAAAACATATAACTATATTATCAGTGGTTCAAGTTTACAACAACTCAAAATAACATCAGTATGAAGGCTCACCTCTCACTTAAATGTTCATCAGACACTTTTCCCGAGGTCCTTCTGCTAGATTTCTCATAGAGAAATGGTTCCAGAAATAGCTTGAGCTGCAAAGATAAGACCATGTTTTACTAAACTCAATACAGTAATATAATATGACGGTTGCAATCAGTCGATCACACAGCTTGAACACGAAAGATCAGGAAATGTACAAATTTGTAATAGTGAACTGAAAACAAGTAAATCAAGTCACGGTGATCAGTTTAATATGATTGTTTCTACACTAGTGAATTTTAATCCATCAGTGACAAGTGGAAACAACAAGCAACTTGTTGCAAATAGGTCAGGAGGTCATGATATGTTGTAGCAATTAGCACTCAATAACTTACATACCTTTGATTTTGTAGAAAGAACAGTGCTTTTCATGAGCGCAATGGGATCTGAGGGAATCTTATGTGACAAAAAAATATATTCAAAAGTGAGGCATACTATAGGAAGAACAAAACAAAATGCATCATATCATGAAAAGTCTATTTACCAGTGTTGGTGCTCCATCTTTGACAATGTAACGCTTGTGTTGTGAGTTAGGCTAAAGGATATCGAAATATTAAACATATCAGTGTAAATTATGAAACAGAAGACATTCAAAGCAGTTAACCATCACAGATAACATTAGCACATACATACTGCTGTTTGCCTTGTAGGCCAAGATCGTCAATAAGCCTGCTTGCCTCCAATTCACTCTCTGTCTGGAGGCAAAATAATTAAATTACAGAGAGAACGGCAAATTGAATCAAGCAGGCATGATAAGATTTGCACGCAGGTAAAAAAAATGCGACTAGTATTGCACATGTGCCCAAGCAATGAAACAATCTTAACCTATTTTGTCAGTGGAGTATTAAAATAATTTATTTATTTTACTAAGAGTAGTACAAAGTAACTAATATGGTAAGTATAATAGTTATAGATCATGGTGAATGAAATCGAATCAGGCTATGATAAGTTACATAACGGTGTTCAATGATGCTCATAGCAGAAAGGGTTCACGTCTGTTGTGGGATACGAATGCAGAAGAAAACACTTCTCCATTTGCAGGAACAACTGTCTGCATTAGTGAGCAGCTTGCATTTCGTTCACAAACACAAGTTTCCTCAGCCTGCGCACCAAGGAGCACTACTCGCTAGTGTGCTCCAGCCCTCAAATAGCCGCAGCAGCGCCAGTGCGCCACAATCCAAAACATACAGAAGCAGCATTTGCAGCAATGCAGACCAACACAGCCCGAGATTGTGATCAAACAGAAGCAGCGAGGCACACCAAAGCGCGCTCACCATGGTGTTGGCCCCTTCGTCCCAGATGAACCCGCCCTCGGAGTTGGTCCGTATCTTCCCACCCGCCCTGTCGGCCGCCTCGAACACCGTCACCTGCACGCCGCGCTTCCTCAGCCTGTACGCCGCCGCGAGCCCACTGCAGAGAGGCAACCATTTCATCAATCATCAAAAAAAACAACCTCCCCACTCACACGCACACGGCACCCCAAACCTAGGGCAGAACTGAACCCACGGAGAGCGCGCGCGGCTCCCCACCCACCTGACGCCGGCGCCGACGACGGCGACGGACCTCCCGCCGCGGGGGTCGTCGGAGGCGGCCATGGCGCGCGCGGGGCGGAACCGTGCGGCGCGCGCGGATGCTGCGACCGCGAAGCGGGTGGGAGCGCGAGCGTGGGCGCGCGACGGCGACGAGGAGGAGGAGGAGGAGGAGAAGGTGGTGGCAGGAGAGAGCATCTGATTTGGGGCTCTTGGATAGCTATGGATGGGGATTTACTTGTTGTCTTGTGCGGGGTTCGTCCTTCGGATCGGAGCCGGTGGGGAAGGAAGGAAGGAAGAGAAGTGGACTGGGAGTGGGAGGCGTGGACTAGTCGCCGAGGAGGCTTGAGGTCAAAACCCACAGGCTTCGCACGCAGTTTTGACCTTTTTTTTTAGTATTGTACTCCACGGGCCAAGGCCCAACTGGTCAGCCAGACTTGGCGTGCATACGGCCCACAATTTGGTTCATGCGAATTTCCGCTCAAATACCAGGGTGCACTGTTTGTCCGAGAGAGAAGATTAAATACTCCCTCCGGTTTTTAATAGATGACGCCGTTGACTTTTTCTCACATGTTTGACCATTCGTCTTATTCGAAAAATTTACATAATTATAATTTATTTTGTTATGAGTTGTTTTATCACTTATAGTACTTTAAGTGTGATTTATATCTTATACATTTGCATAAAATTTTTGAATAAGACGAATGGTCAAACATGTGAGAAAAAGTCAATGGCGTCATCTATTAAAAAACGGAGGTAGTATATAAAAAACGAGATAAGTCATTAGCTTATAATTTATTAGTTAAATATTAATTATTTAAAATTTAAAAAATAGATTAATATAATATTTTTAAAGCAACATTTCCAAAGATTTTTCTTTAAAAAAACAGAAAGTGTGCTTGGAACGAACGCACACGTACGCGACTACTCCCGTCTCGAAAAAAACGGGAGTAGCTATACAACTGTCGACAGTTTTTGGGATGAAAAACTTTCAAATATGACTACTATGTAATTACATTGTAACTACTATATAACTACTATATAACTAATATGTAACTCAAGTGTAACTCAAAATAGCCCGATGGGAGAACTGGTTAGGTGAACAAGCCTCCAAGTTGGAGGTGTTGGGTTTGATCCCTACTGCACGCGTGTGAATTTTTTAAGCCGTTTTCCCTCACTAGCACAAATCTCAAAGCATATTAGACAGCTTAAAATTTGAAAGTTTTCACCCCTGAATTTTTTAAGCTGTTTTCCCTCACTAGCACAAATCTCAAAGCATATTAGACAGCTTAAAATTTGAAAGTTTTCACCCCCTGTTAACTGTCGCCAGTTGTATAGCAAATCCGAAAAAAAAAGAAATCATGATTATGTATTTGAACATACCCTATGTTTAGTAAGGATTTGGTTTTTTTTTTTTGACAGATGAAGTATGTTCCAAATAGAATTAGGCTAAAACGACCTCAATAAAATGGGTTTCCTATTCTTTTCTTAAAAATCTTTAATTTGGGTTTTCTTAAAAATCTTTAATTTGGGTTACGTATTATATAATTAGATTTATGACCTGAATTAATCCTTGTTACACACTTTGATGATCGCACTTAATCCTTGTTAACACATCTTGGCTTACATTTTGGCAAAACACAATAAGCTTAAACCCTTTTTACTAATTTTGCCTTAGCACAAGGTTAATAGGTACAGAGAGACGGTCAATGCCCGCATAAGTGAGACGAGTATGGATATCGCGGCAATGCGAAGGAGACGAAAACGAGTGAGTCAACCCACACGGGAAGATAACATTGATATTGCATTTGCCAAAGTTCACACTAGCCGACGTGGTTCTTTCCTCTGTAGTAGATCAGATCAGCGGATGCCCCATTTCTTGAGCAACCTAGCCAGGGCCCTCGTGAACCTTCTCAACTTCGACTTTGAATTGCGCAGCCGCGACATCTTGTCGCTGCCTGGCTCGCTGCTTTCTTCTTGTTGCTGCTGCTGCTGCTGCTCGTGCTGCGCGGTTGCCTGGCTCACCACCTCGTGCAGCTGCACCCTTGGCTGCAGCTGCTCGACCTCCCGCTGCCGCTTCCCGCGGAACAGCAGGAGCAGCCTCTGCGCCTTATCCTTCGTCTTGCCCGTGCCGTTGGCCGTCAGGGACACCAGCGCCGGGATCACGCCTTCCTGGAGCACCATCTGGCTGCCGCCGTCATCGCCGCTGCAGATGATCCACAGGCACGACACGGCCTTCTCCTTCTCGGCGGGGTCCCCGTTCTCGAGGATGACGACGATGGCGCCCACCATGTCCGAGTCGGCCATGATCTCCTTCTTGCCGGCGCGGGTCAGCGCCAAGTTGATCAGCACGGCCAGGGCCTTCTCCGTCGTCGGGGAGGACGGCGTCAGGACGTCGTGGAGGCTCTGCATGATGCCGGAGGAGATGAGGGTCGGGATGTTTGACGATTGCAGCGACAGGTTGTACAGCGTCAGGAGAGCGTCGAGGCAGCAGGTCTTGCTCATCCGGAAGCCGTCTCCTTGCAGGCCCTTGATCAGGAGAGGCGCGGCCTCGCTCTGCCCGATGATCGCCTGCGCCTCGGCGAGGCAGGAAATGTTCAGGTACATTGCGACGGCAGCCTCGTAGGTTTCAGGCTTCTGTATCATCTGCTCCATCAAGGGGAGGACTCCACCTGAGAGAAGTTGTTTCTTGTTCCTGGAAAATCAAATGCAGAGGTGGAAAATGTGAGATGATGGCAACTAAGATCAATTAAATCATCTACCTATAGAGTGTTACTGCAAGTTGTACGTGTAATAAACTATTGTAACAACATCGTTAGAAGGAACAAAGCATACGTGACATTTTACCTATCATTGCTGACAGCAAGGTTGAACAGAGCCATTGTTCCAACCACCTGGCACTGAACATCATCTCTGCAGACTGCCTTCTTCACAAAGTGGATGAGTAGCTCGGTAATACCATTAGCACCCGCGTATTTCCTAAGCTCGTTGTCATCCTTCAAAAGGAATCTAATCTGCTCGATCACCTCACGTTGCTCGTCGACACACTCATCGTCGTCCTTGCTCAGCACACGCAGCCAAAGCTCACATGTCGCCTCTGCTACCTTCTCGGAGTTCTCATGAGGATGTTTTTCTGGTGAGGCCTGATCAACTTCACATATCTCAGATGGAGCCTCTCCGGAGTTCTGCCGAGTGCACTCCTCCGAAGCAACTTTACCACCATCCTTAATATCATCCTCCGCGCATGTGTCTTCAAACAAGACCGTGCTAACGCCATTGGTCACAAGACATTTGCTACTATTCAAGGATGATATCCTCAGGTACTTGAGCTTGGGAGAATCAGGCGGCGCCGATGGAACTAGAACCCCGTTCTGCTCGCACCATGAAGCTATCAAACCCTTGATGCAATAGTTGGGCGTCATGGAGAGCTGGGATAATTCATTCCGAGTCTTTGGGCAGGTTGTGTTGCCGCTGCTAAACCATTTCTCAATGCAAGCCCGCTCATATGTCTGACCAGATGCGATAATAACAGGGTCATGCATGAGTTGCAAGGAGATCGGGCACCTTAGTTCCTCAGGTGGCAATGGCATGCTACCTGATAAGCCTTTGATCTGCCTGAGATTGAAGGAGCCAACCCTAGATATCGACTTTTCAATAACATGACCATTTCCATGGAGATCAATCGAGCTGGACAATGAACGGGAAGAGCAAGAAGGGCTTGAGCACATGGATGTGTTGGTGAAATCCGTCGTTTCGCTCCTAAAAATGCTTGAGTATTTCCTCATTAGGTGCAGTAGATAAGATGCAACTGATTCTTTCTTTATGTCTTCCTCTGCATGAGCCCTCTCAAGAAGCCTTCTAAGTGCTCTTCTCTCGGTAAGAGCTGTTGCCGATGACGCAACGCCGACCCGAAATGCAGTTTGTCGGAAAAATTCAAGTTCATTGTCATGAAGAAAGCCATTGGATTTTGCCTCATTCTGAACTAATTGATTCACATCCACACCAGCTTGCTTTTCAATCAGATCCAAGGTAAAAACTGCTTTCTCCAGATCTTTTGCGATATCTAGTATCTGAAAATTTCCCAAATAAGTGTGAATTAGAGGAAAAGGTTAAATTAAATCATGCGATTACAATTAGGGTGAAAGCTGCAATACGTCAAACTCATTCATTAATTTAGTAAACTATATAACACTGATAAAGAAGGATCCTTCCGCAATATTTTATAGGTATCTATTTAAGACAGAGCCGGCAAGGACAAATTCTTGTATAACCAGTGGCAACCTGAGAACTGGCTGCTTCTGGAAGTGTTTCTTCCAATTGGTGAAGACTTTCCAGAAGCGCATATCTTGCTTTCTCAAATTTTGCCAGGACATTTTCTGCTGTAAAGGCCTGCATGCAGTTAGGATGTGTAAGTATGAAATTTTGTATTTCTATAATAACAAATAAATTTGGCAGTACTTGATATCCATATACGATGAAACATATCCAAGTACCATCAATTATATACAGTAGCACAAAGACATGTATCCATATTTCACACATTTTTATTTCTCAAAACTAGGAAACATAAATATGTTTGCACTTATGAAAACTGCATACCAAGTATAGCTTGCTGCACTCTGAGCAATACTGAAGTAGATTCTTGGCCTTCTCAACAGCTATGCGCAAGGAACTCAATGCAAGAAGTCCAGAACTGTTTCCAGGCCTTGTAGCTTCAAGGACAGGAATAACATCCAATACTTCAAGAACTACTTTGTGAAGTTGCTTACATAGTGCTCCATGCAGCTGCACAAAGAGGTAGGAACAAACCAGCTTAATCTACCATCCTAATACTCACATTATTAATAAATAGAAATCATTCCTCCCCAAAGAGGGGGGGGGGGGGCAAAATTATGATATCAAACAGCGGAGCTAAAGAAAATTAAAAAGAAAGAAAGAAGGTGGATGAGATCTATTATTTATCACAATTTACCAACTAATAATTGGTAACTTTATGAGATCAAATATCTTCATATATAAAAAATTATCATATATATATGATGCAACTATGTTATGATTTCTTCTAACTTTTTGTTGAACTAGTGGTAGTATTGTGATATTTATACTTTTACAGGAGGCATTTGCCTTTGCTTTTAAAGGGTGACTATATAATATGTACACAAGTATCACAAAAACTCAATAGTATTGTTCTGAAAGTTCCCTACATTATAAAATGATCTCAGATCAACATAATTAATCATATTAACATTGTAGAACAATTAGCTTTTAGTGAAATGAGGTCAGGTGAATTACCTTCCAATTACCCGTACCAATGAAGTTCCCATCGACCTCGACTTTCTCCATGGTGCCTCTCCTAGTCAAATTTCATCCGCTGAGAAATAAGAGAAGTCATAGAATGAAGAAGTTATTAGTCCTAGAAGAGAATAGTTTCGGCACAAGTATGTGGCAAGGGCGATCATCCACGGTTCCGCCGGAACCAACCAAAACCAGACTAAAAAACCTCAATTAAGCTAAGGATTAGCATAGCCACCAGTCAATTAGTTTGTTGGCTTGCTGCAAAATTAATACAATCGGTTTGACCTTTTTCTTTCAACCCAAGATGAACAACTTCAAGTATGTGCTGCGGAATCAAGATAGTGCATTATGTGTTCATGCATGAACTGAAGTAACCCCCATTAGAAATAAAGGGTTTAAATTTCTCACCGTGTGCAAAAACTGATGGTATAATCTATTTTCCTATATTGATGAAATTTCACCTGAAACATGCAAAGTGCATAAGTTACATATCTTATCACTATAAAAAAAATAAAGATCATTTAATAAATAAAAAAATTACAATCCTTTATATAATAAATTACATTGATCATATAGCCAGAAATAAAGCATATTAGCAACGAAGCACAAATCAAATGATGAAACCTTGACATGCAATTCAAAACACACACCCCAACAGTAAATGAAGAACCAAAAGTCCATGCACTGCTCTTATTGGCAGTTTGGCACATCTAGAAAAGGAGCAAATGGAGCCAATAGATAGAGTTTTAACCTCTAGATGTGATTGATAACCTTAACCCAAAAAGGGGGCCAACACATAGTAAAGTGAAGATGGAATAATAACTAAAAGTGCAAATTTTATCATTCGAACAACTAAACATACGTTAGGACAACTAGTTTCCCCCTGGAAAACATAGCTATAGTAAATCAATTGATCAAGAATGAATTTTGTGCACATTATTTTCTTACTAATGTTGCGACCGCAGGGATTATTCTGCATGGCATGGCATAATCAAACCACATGTTAAAGGACATGTAAAGTCACAAAAAAATAAAGAAAAAAAGTATGCCATGAAATTCAACTGAACCAACATTTTTTCCTTTACATAGCTAAGAGACTTGGTTATATTGTTTACAGGATGATATACCTTGTATTGGTTTACAGGATGTTGTTAGTAAGTTCATCGCCGGACATCCCTGACTTGATACTTATCCACAAATCCAAGACCAAATATAGTGATACTTATCAATTCGTGAATTCAAAAACTAGAAGGGCTCATTTGCACTGACTTTTGGTGGTGAGGGACGTCGAGCGGTGTTTGGTTGTACCAGATCCAACGGAGGGCAAACATACGTACCGTGATCAACGCCCCAAGTGATGCCATCCTCAAGCTAAGGTGGCGGGCTGCCATTGCCATGGCACCATGGACGGCGAACAGTGAAAATCGCAAACAACCAACTGCCCAAACCCCCAACTTTCGCGCGGTCGCTGAGACAATAAGCCATGGCGAAGCCGTTTGGGGGCCTAGATTCCAGTGGAGGAGAACAACGGAAGGGGCATGGGTGCAGTGTGGGCTGCCTCTAGAGACAGCGAGTGAATTGGCATTGGCAGAGGGGAGAGAGTGGGGGCTGGGCGATACAATTCAAAGGCGTAGGGACTTAGATGGAAATTTTCAGACCGCTAACAACATTGCTAGCAGTCCTAAATGTTTAGTTCACACAAAAATTGGAAGTTTAGTTGAAATTGGAACGATGTGACAGAAAAGTTGAAAGTTTGTGTGTAGGAATGTTTTAATGTGATGGAAAAGTTGAAAGTTTGAAGAATTATTTTGGAATTAAACACGGCGTTAAATAGGGACCAAAATGCATAATTTGGAAATGCTACCACTGGCAAGGAGTCCTAAAAGGGATCGCTTTGGAGATTTATCAACCCATCATCAGGTTGGCGGCGGAGGGATTTGGCAGGCGGTGGAGGCCGAGCCCGGCGCTTCCGGCTGGCGGCGGTTGGATCCGCTGTCCTCGCGGCTGGACCTCGTCGGACCCTTGGCGACGGCGACGGGTTCTCTCCGCGGTGCGGCACCCTCGCCGTTGCAGCTCCATGTGACCACGGAGGGCCTCGGCTCAGCATCCTCATCGTCGCGCCCCCCTCCCCCTGGTGCCGGCGGTGTGGGCTGGGCCCGGTGCCCCCAGCTGGCGGCGCCTAGCGATGGCGGGCTCCTTCCCCCGTTGTCCCCGTCCCCCCCCCCACAGGTTGTCCATGCGTGCAGCGTTGGGTCTGGGACGGCACACGTGGAGCTACGAGGGCCGGCGACGTAGCTCTACCCTCCAGCCGCCGCCGGCCGGGGTTGTGCGTGGAGGGGCTGGCTTCGGAAGCCCGGACGTCCTCCTACGCGCGTTTTGGCTGCCGACACGTCCCCTTGGTTGCAACAAACCTCTTCCCCTTCTCCCTAGTGCCCTCGATATTGTGCCTTCTTCCCTCCCCGCTCCAAACCTGGGCCTATTCCATTGTTCTTTGGTTTGCTGGTGTTATTCCCCGTTCAAAATCTTCTCATTTTCAGCTTGCTCTTGACAATTGGTCCAGATGTTTGTTCTGGGATTTGTGCTCCTCTAGCACCTTGGCTGGCCTCTGCTCTGTGCCCTCCGCTGAGGTTGCGGTTGATGATCTTTCATCAGTGAATTCCCCCCCTTAGCCATTTTCCTTTTGTCTAACTCCTGCTCATCTTCACCCCCTTCCTTGAGACCGTCCAAGACCTTTCAGCGTTTCTCCCTCCTTTTAGGCTTCCTTCCCTTGAAGGACGTTGGAGTGTGTTGATCTAACAAGCAACTCGATAAAGTTTGATTGAAGAAAACTCATTGTGGGTGGCCTTCGGCCACATCTTTCAGTGCCCTCCCTCTTCTGGGGCTTCCTTCCCCCAGAGGGCGTCGGCGGGCTTTGATCCAAACAACAATAAGATCAAGTTAGCTTCTTGATGACTTCATGCGGGTGGCCTAGGACTTCTACAACCTTTCTTTGGCCTTTCTTCTATTCCGGCATGCTTGTGGCTGCGTGAGGAAATGGATGTTGATAAGCTAGGGTGTTAGCTTTAGGTTTTGGTTTTGGCCGGGTAATTTTGTAGATGTCGTTTGTCAATTGTTATATTTTAGGAGGTTTTCCTTTCTCTGTTCTCTCCTCTTTGTATTCCCCGTGTATTCTGTTCTCCTATCCTCCAGGGCTTCTGCGTTTCTATAGGTGAAGCCTGCCCTGTGTAAGCTCATTTGGCTTAATATATTCAGGTGGGGACTCCCCCCCCTGCCGGTGATTTAGTCAAAAAAAAAATCATCAGGTTGGGCTGCGTGCTTCCCGGTGGCAACGCGGCATTGCGGCCGATATCGATCCAAGCCCAGATCCACTGGCCGTTCAAGGCCTCATGCTGAATTGCTGATGCTAAACATGCTGGCAACGTGTAAACTGAAATAAATTGAATACTAACCTACTGTGAACTGCTTGAACAAAACTAGTTGAATTGGAAGATATAAACAGTATCGCTTATGCTGACGCAAACCAAATGAGAATATGTTTTAGAAAAGGGCTGTAGCTGCATACTCTGTAGAATTCTGTTTTGCTGCTATTATGGTGGCCTGGCTTTCTTTTGCGTAGCATGGTGTAATCAACACTAATGTTTGGACATATGTAATATAAAATCTCGCACAAAAAATTCAAATACTACATGAAGGCCACCGGTGTCAAAGAAGGCAGACGCAGAGAGTCGGAAGGAAAAGAAATTAGGCAGAGCAACATCAGCTAGCTAAAATGTCAACGTAGAAAACAAATTTGCACCGTTCGCCTAAAAAGACTCTAACTCAAGAACAGAGATTAACCATAATGTTACTACTGAATAAGCTGAGGAATAATCATATATGGCGGGAGATCGTTCGTCCGTACTCGTACCCGAGGGAGACAAGGCGACGAAGGAGCGAGCCTTGAATTCCTCCATGGCTCGGTCCGTAGCTCGTCCTTTCGCCCCCTTGCTCGGTCGGGAGGAAGGAAATTGATTTGTTTTGGGAGAGGCACGAGGGGGGCGGGAGGAGGTGGAGATAACACGGGGAGAAGAGGAAAAACGGTGGCTTAATTTGTCCAGAGCCGCCGAATAATAGCGTATGGCCATGCCAAAGCATAGGCTTGGCGGTTGGCGTGGCGCTACTATTCTCGTCGTCCTCGTCGTCGTCGAACGCGGGTCGGGCAAATTTAGGGCGGCGAGTGAATCCGCGCGCGCGCGTGGCTCAAATGTTGGTTCGTTCTTTGCCAGATCGAGCTCTGGCTGGGGTGATCGGGCCAGCAATGGAGCAGAGCACGGATGGTGTTTTCCTGTGAGACATATGGCTGCGCTTCGGCTGAGTACAGAAACGGGGTGCAGGTTTTGCTGGCGATTACGGTGTCTGTTAGTTTGTGGCCTGATTATAAATACCGTAATGCTGCGAAAATTAACGTATCAGCTGGTTTGCCCGAGTGGTTAAGGGGGAAGACTTAAGATCTTCTGCACTGAAGTGCGCGTGGGTTCGAACCCCACAGCCAGCAATATTTAATTTTTTTAAAAAAAATCTCAAAATCTGCATTTTTTTAACAATAATACAAGTTTGAAAAGTAGGGTTTTGAACTATTTCAATTTATTTTTCTGATTTTCTCTCAAAAACTGCAATATTCGAACAATTTCATTACTCCAATAGAAATTTTGTTTTCTAAAATATTTTTTGAAGTCCAATACAAGTTTGAAAAGTAGGGTTTTGAGCTATTTCAATTTATTTTTCTGATTTTATCAAAAACTGGATTTTATTTTTGAAATATTTCGTAGCCCCAATAGAAGTTTAGTTTCTTTTAATAATTTCTGCAGTCCAATACAAGTCTGGAAAAAAACTGGATTTTTGAACAATATTGGGACCCAACACAAGTTTATATTTCAATAATGAATTTTTTGGACTCCAATACAAGTTTATTCATTTTTTTTCAAAAAGAAGTGTATCTTTGAATAATTTTGGGCCTCTAATACAAGTTTATTGTCAAAAAATGGGACTCCAATACAAGTTTATTTCTTTAAAATAAAATGTGGACAATTTTGGGACCTTCATACGTCTGTACAATTTTGGGCAACATTTTTTTTTTGGGATTCTGAACAATTTTGGAACAGCAATACAAGTTTATTTTCAAAAAATGTATACCAATTTTGGGATCTCCATACATGTGTACGGAAGTATGTTGAACAAAAAATTTGAACATTTTTTGGGACTGCAATACATGCGCGTTCTGAATCAATTTACGCTACGTTCTGGATTAAATTCAAAGAGAAAGCAATTTCGGGACTCCAATAGCGCTATGTTATGTTCCGGCAAATTTCAGTTTTTTTTCGTGAACACGCAAAAGTATTGCACGTCAATATATTAGAAGAAAAAGAGTTCTAGTTACTCTACGCAATCAGCCAGACCGGCTAATGCTAGGGAAAGGAAGAAAAAGCAAAAGAAAAAAAAACTGAAGCTTAGAGAAACTATGGTGGCTGAAAACAGACTCCAAGCAGCGGGAAGGGGCCAAGCCACACTAGACTCCCAACAAATCCCCAAAAGCGACGACGCCAGCTAAAGACCACATATGCCCCTCCGAATGGATGAACTCTAGAACCACTGAGATCGAAGAGAGAGCGGAGTCGAAAACCCTAGAATTCCGCTCCTTCCACAGACGCCAAGAGACCAGGAACACTAGGGAGTCGAAGCTGTCGTAGAGGTGCTCAGGTAAGCAGGCCCTGAAGGACGACCACCAGTCTTGGAACCAGCTGTCACGGGGGGAGAGAGGGCAGCCCAGCCAGGAGGCGACAATACTCGAAGCCAGACCTACCGAGCGAACATGCAGTCGAAGAGGATGTGGTTCGCCGTGTCAAGATCCTGAACGCAAAAGGGGCAGCCCAAGTGACTATCGATGCCACGCTTCTGGATGAGATCAGCCGTCCAGCAGCGCCGCTGGAATGCAAACCAAAGAAAGAACCTGCATTTGGCAGGACCCTTTGCATGCCAAAAAAGATCAGCACAGGCAAAGGAATGCTGGCCATAGAAGAATGCCTGGTATGCCGAACGCGCAGAGTAGCGCTGGTCAGCTGTCCAGCGCCAAATGAGACAATCCTCGACACCTGGCGAGAGTTGTACGTGAAGCACCGCATCCCAAATAAGGAGAAAATGGGAGATGACTGGGATAGTGAGGGCACCTCGAATATCAGAGACCCAGGAGTTGTTCGCTAGGGCAGAAGCAACTGTGCGTGAACCTCAAAAACGTTGGGGAACGACGAAGAGGAGATCTGGAGCCAAGGACGCCACCGAGCGGCCGTCGATCCATTGGTCAGATGAGAAGAGCATAGACTCACCATTTCCCGGCACAAAGAAAGTGGATGCCGCGAACATGTCGGAGACGGTCTGCTAGACTGGGGCCTTTAGGCCATCCTAGTAGGGGTGCCCTGAGCGCTGAAGCCAAAGCCAGCGAACACGTAGGGCAAACCCTGCCAACCTGAGGTCAGTGATCCCCAACTCACCACCGGTTTTGGAGCGACAAACATTCGTCCAAAACACCTGACACTGCCCACCATGGGCTGAGTCCGTACCTGTCCACAGGAAGGCGCGACGCTTATTGTCAATGGCCTTAATAACCCAGACTGGGAGGCCGATCGCCATAGATTCATGGACTGGAATGGAGAAGAGAACCGACTGGACCAGCACAGAACGGCCAGCCAGAGTGGTAAATCGTCCTTTCCAAGGACCCATGCATGTTGCTACCCCGGACCAACACTGTAAATTTTCTGGATAATGTCTAATGATCTGTATGAATCATAACACATCACTGAATCTTGTCTAATGTTGGCCGGAGAATACCCTGAAACCAGCAACCAGATTATTTGCTAACCGCTGGGTGAACCAATCACTATTTACCACAGCAACAGGACAGCTAGAAGCCTAACATCCAGAGCAGCAGAGCTCCTTGTTAAAGGAAGGAACAATTCTAGTCTAGTTTCAATTAATTTTACAGCTCAACAAAAGGGGTTGGTCACACTGACAAAAGAAAAAAGACTGGACTGATCGATTCACTGGTAAAGGTTTGATCAGACGACTTCGACCTTTCGTTTGGAAGAGACTGATGACCTCCATTACTTTGCTCTTGTCACGCTATATGCTGCCTGCTATACCTTTAATTTCCTGTCGCCAGGCAAACATGTTTTGAGGACCAAGGAGAAATGTCATCAAACTAGCCAGCACTGCAATTTGCTTCACATCCCATTTTAGTCGGCTGGTCTGTTCCTTGATGCTTGCTTGCAGCTGCAGGTGCATTTCTCCTTGTCTTCCTTCAGAGTCTGCACACAGGGAAAAACTCAGTGTTGTTTCCGGGTTGCGTTGTGCTTTTATATATATATATATATATATATATATATATATATATATATATATATATATATATATATATATATATATATGTTACTCCCTCATATCCGTCCCAAAATAAATCAACTTTTAGCTATGTCTATGTTTGTAATAGAAGTTGATTTATTTTGAAATGGAGGGATACTTGATTACTCATACTGAGCTGCTGTTTTACAGTGCAATATATTGGTATTCCATCTAGCTATATATATTCTGATGCTAACGGGGGTCTTTGTAACTGGACTGGTACATCGACCTATCAGGCTTCTTTAGGCAGCAGTGGCTTCAATTCAGTTTTGCCATTCTGAACATGCAAATTAGTAACACGCATACGTCATTATACCTGCAGCTGGCTCTGCAGTCCCTTGATGTGATCAACTGCTAAGTCCAGCATGTCTGAAGTACTCGTTTGCTGCCACATTAATTTGTAAGAAGAACAAATTAGAAAGATCATCAATTGAACTCCAACTCAATAACCTGAAGATTGTTGTCTGACGAAAAAGTTCAGACAAGGACTGGTATATACATGAAAAGAACACACGTATGGCACACACCTTGTCCATGTTGGGCACCAGGGCCTGCAACTTCCTGAGCTTCTCGCTGATCCTCGTTCTTCTCTCCTGTCATCATCGATCGATCATATGCCTGAAGATTAATCTGGCATGCACGATCCAAGGAGGAACAACAAGAATGCTACTGGCTAGATGCATGCATATGAAGAACATCTTGAAAGGTTATCAATATTCTTATTTGGTAACATATCATGTGCACACAAGTTTCGCATGCAAATTCTATACACACCAACAAACAAATATCACAAAAAATTCTTTAAAAAATACATATTATAATTTCAAAAATGCTACACCTTTGTGTAAAATCTTAACCTCAAATTTGTTATATCATAGGTGTAACAATTTTTTTATAGTTTTAAGACAATAAGTATATCAGAATTTTATCATTTTTGTTGCTCTATCTATGTAATGAATTTGAAGACATGACTTTATGTGTAAATATAATACTAAAAATACATGTATATTGATTTTTTTTCTAATTTTTTTATGATATTTGTTAATTTGATGTACGGTGCATACTATACACGTTAAAGGTCTATGTATCTAGGATACGCTTCCATGCTAGTTGACATTACAGTATATAGTTCGACCCGCTACGTACGTACATAAAAAGTTGGTACTATGATGGGGCGTAGAATTAGCAAGGGAAAATGTCGTCTATACATACCCTCTCTGCGATGCTCCGTGGGTGCGTCGCGCATCCACGCTTGGCCCGTACTCTGAATGGCACCTGGTCGTGCTGCATCTGCAGGTATTTCTCTACGCCAGCCATCTCCCTGGGCGCAACAAGCTGCATCGCAGATGCATGTATATACAAATTAGACATGAAATCATCCCTCACATTGTACACACACACACTAATAAATCAAACTATAAATACGAAAAATGAAAAATAAAGATAAAACGCATATATATATACACCTGAGATTCGTAGTTGCTAAGGGTGGCGATGATGTCGTCGTTGCCGTGCGCTCCTGATTTGCCCGTCGACGTGGAGAACACGATGGAGTTGGAGTCCTCCCATGACCCGATCGAGAACCCACCGGAGGAGAAGGAGCGGACGACGTGGTCGTGGGTGGAGACGTTCTCCTCGGAGCGCCCATGATGATGAGCGGCGCCATGGATGCTGTCAGTGAGGTCCGGGATGCCGTCCTCGGATATCTGGGAGAGGCCGCCGGAGCCCTGCCTGCTGCTAGCGAAGCTCAGTGGGGCCTTCATCTTCTTGTTGTTGTTGCTGCTGCTGCTCATGGCGCCATGGCGAACCTCACCGAGTGATGATCCTGCTGGTCTAGCACTCGATGAGAAACCTATTGCCATAAGAAGATGTTTTTTAGATAATGGATGTTTCATTAATCCGATCTCTATATCCACAAATATTGTTATAAGAAGATGTATAAATCGTGAGTTGGTGACTAAGCAGATTTTTTTTTTTTTTTGGAAATGCTAAACATGCAGCAGTGGTCCGCACATCTGGGAAATGAACTTGTTCCATGCATGCATGTGTTTTAAATCCGTTTCACAAGGTTCATCAGAGAGTAGCACTTACGGTTCGAAGTAGACGATGATACTGTTGTAAGAAAAACACAACAGCAACTTATTCCACAATGGAAAAAAAAACCCTCTATATACTACTCCCGCAAAAAAAAAAGTATGTTTAACACTTCAAGCTTTTCTTTCTCAAAAGTAAAGGAGGTTTGTGCTTCGTTTCATTGAGAAAAATAAAAAAAAGGGAAAAATAATTACAAACATAAGGAACAAATTAAAATGGCCACACTCACATAAACTCGTTACCCAGAAAGCCATCATTAGTCGTCCAAATTAATTGACCTACATACAAAGAAAGCTTACAGAGCGCTCGAGTTTCCGGCTAAACACCACAAATACTGTCATTTGCCACTGCACGTGCTACCACCAAAACATTTAGAGAAGCTTTGAAAATACAATTGTTACGGTTCTTCCAAATCTCCTATGCTACTAGAATAATCAATGAGTTTAGTCCTTTGCGCATCTCTTTTGAAACTTCATTGATGGCTTTACACACCACCAACCTGAAAAATGAACTGTCGTTGGCTGAGATGCAACCCCAGCGCAACCCCATCTCCAAGAGAAGGGAAGTACACACAGCTTGCAAAAGACACGAGAGACAATTGTATGTGTTGTATAGTTTCATCACTTTGATCTCAAAGATGGCATGCACTCGGCTGTGGAAGAGACTAGCCGATCCGAAGCCAACCATCTGTTATTAATTACCAATCAAATGAAGAACTTGCATCGTAAAGGAGCCCAACTTGATAGTTCCTAGGAAGTAAGCATTGTGTGATCATTTAAACCAGTTGTCGCCTGGCCCTCTGAGCTTTGCAATATTATCTACATAACCCTTTAAGATGGCTATGCCCGAGAGCAAGAATAATAGTAGAGCCCACTTTCTACTATTAGCTTATCTTAAAACTAATATATATAGTAGATTAACTATAAGTTTGGCTATAATTTTCTTCTTCTCTCTATCTCTCACTTATATATTTAATGTATTTATCTTGGAGCTTGTGATAAGTTAGCTCTTGCATGAGAGCCAACACCCTTGATTTTTTACTTCCTCTTTCCTCCACCTAAGTATATAGTAAGCTTATAGCTCACTATTATACTTGCTCTGAGTGACATAGTACAAGATATTTTCCATTATCTCTCTCCATTGTACCCTTTTTCTCCTGAGACAACTAAGAACCAACACAATGCCTACATGTGTGTCATGTATAGTCGATTCAACGATCGAAGATTGGCAAATCACTCCAAAGATTATGCAAATGGAGTATTGCAAAGTAAAAGAGGCTACATGCCTAGTTTTGAAATTCAAGGTGCTAGCTGGGCTTGTGTTCAGTTCTTTTATTTTTTTATGGATTTTTCTTTCCACGGAATCATATATATATAATCACAATTTGATGTTAATAGTATTAGAAATATGATTGGGTCTTTGTTAAAACATTGCGTTTTCCACTGCAAATTGTTGTTTTCAGTTATGTGTGGCAAAAATTAGGACGAAAATTGAAAGTTCTTTCTAAGTGTAATATGTATTGTGCCATATTAATATAATATTATAGTGTATGCAATTAATCAACTTGCACATGCGTGATGTTCATCAAAGACATTCTAATGTGTCATGCTAGACATTCTAGCTAAATCGTACTGCCGTCGAACATCGCATGCACGGTGGAGGGTGATCACACACAAGTAGTTTAATCTACGATCGATATATATATATCCCCCCATTGTCACACAAAGTACTCCCAATTCGCAAGTGTGCAAGAAACATTTTTTTTTATCAAAATGCAGTTTCTTAAATAGAACATGCCAAGTTGCAGGGGTGGAGCTAGGTAACTAGGAGAGGGATGCCTAGCTAGGAACCCGGTTAAAAAAAAATATCTATAATTTATCAATTTTCACCGTATGTGCACCCCCTCAATTTAAACTCAAGCATACATATCAGTCTAAACTTGATATAAAGTAGAGTAAACCAAGCGAGTGATACCCTTCTCTATTTTGTTCTACCTCCATCCCTACCAAGTTGCCACCGGATCCCATCGTATAGTATAGTAGTAGACCAGGTTTACCGTTTACGATCGATCTCACGGCGATGGACAGATATGTCAAACTGTTGATGGCTTTGGCGCCGCGTGCAACACTCTTCCACTCACCCCAGCCAGGCAACCAGCGAGTGAGAATGAACCCAGAATGAATTATTCCTCGATCGTCGTCGTCTGGTGCTCGCATGTATATATAGGAGGTGACATCACCTCTACTTTGGTTCGCTGATGTCTGCACGCGAGAGAGATCGATCAACTGAACCTAGACGGGATATGACAGAACTTAATTTCATGTGTAAGGTTAGCGGGCCTAACCTAGCTAAGCTAGCTTAATTACGCGCGTTCGATAATACACCATCAAGCGAAGAACCGTCGTCCAGCCCCTTGGTTAATCAGTCTATACATCACACGGCAGCCGTATAGCAGCGTGTGGGGCACCAATTCGATTAACCTTCTTCGGGTTATAGCTTACCGTCGTCTTGGCCAGACATAACTTGAGACATGGGAAAATCTAAGAAAAAGCGACTTTGTTCTTTTTCAAGGATAAGGAAATTAAGGTAACTTGAATTGCATATAATTCAACACACTGTTGTATATGTTCACACATGAGGCTGTACGTTGTTATCCTATTAGTTCAAGTGCCGCTGTTTATTACGAAAGAAGCTATAAAAATGATAGGTGAGTAGAAGAAATAGTCTCTTAAAATGTAGACCAAATGTGTTACAAGTGGACAAGAAGTTCAATAGGACAATAATAAAAAATAATATTTAGAAAAGGTCTTCGCACTTTTCCCCATAGGATAGATGTACACAATTCAAACAAGGTGTACGCATAGTTTTACTAGTTTTATATATGAAGGGTGCATAATGGACATTATAAACAAGTTGTACGTATAATTTATTAGTTTTATATCTAGTGAAGGGTAGATGCTACACGTACACCAAATAGAGTCTAATAAGATAAGGACAACTTATCCTGTTAGTTCTGAAACTAGTGGATGGCTGATAGGACACGCGTAAAGGCAATGTATAACGGCTTGAAAACCAAAGAGGAGGAAAGTAGCTAGGTCCATGGTAGTGATGTTAGGCTGTCAGCAAAACAAATAAATATTAATAGCATGTTAAAATAGATAGTTTAGTAAATATTTCGGAATAAATAAATATGTGCAAGAAGCATGTGGGCGTACATATGTGTACATATGTGGTTATACAATCCTAAGGACCCACCCATTTCTCATTGCCCCCACCAGAAAACCACCGTAACTGTGCAGCCCGTAGTTTTCCATCCAATTATTCCAAGCCACCCGGTTTGAAAGCAACCCATAAGATATCACGTATATAAACAAAAACAAACCGAAGACAAAAGTTTGGATATAGTTGGTGAAATCAGCAGATTGCAGAATCAGATTAGCTAGGAGACTATACTCTCAATATTGGTCAATGAGTGAAATTCTTAGGGTACACAAAGTCACCTATACTTATATACAAACTTTGATTATATATCAATATATCTTCATGTGTGTTTGTAGACCGGACACACAAAAATAGTATTTGCATATTTTTTGCTGAAGTAATTTGCTTACGATATTGTGATTTTGTTGCAAAAGTAACCCATCACAAACAAAAGATTTATCGATCATATTTCACTTTGCATAGGTAGGTAATTTATTTTGATCCGAAAAGGAACTTGGGGTTTCAAATAAGTATTTTATTCATGGTAAACTTGAGTTTATTTTGAAAACGAACACAAAGATGAACGACAGAGCGACAGTAACGAAATTAAGCCTGCGGCAAATTTCCCCTCGAAAAAAAATCCTGCGGCAAATAAAAAGGGTATGGCGCCGGTCTACCTTCAGATATATAGAGTGAACTTTATTTTAATTTATCAAACCTGGTAGCATCGAACATCCGTTTTGTAGTCTAAACCCTTACTAAAACGATCATACAGCCTTTTTTTTCAACATAAAATGGAGTAAAATATTGCTGCCCCCGAAAGAATATTGCACTAATCGGTGGGCGGCTGCTAATGAACATGCATGCGGCGTAAATATAACAGAAAAATGAAGGCGCTGTTGCAAATGTATTGGATGACTACATTGCACAGCTGCTGATGTACGTGTAACCTGTGCAGTAGACCCAGAAACATTCATCAAAAGCACTCAAATATCAAGAAAATGAGAGAAAAAATAACCAAGATCACACTTGACTAAACATCGCACCATAAGAAAAAAAATCGCAGTAAAAGAAGAAAAAAAAGAAATAAAGACAGAGAAATAAATTGGAATACTCCAATGAGTCAAGAGAAAGAAGAACGGTGGTTAATTGGAACATTCCAAACTCGATAGTAATGGAAGAGACGAATCAAGACGGCAAATCGAAGGTACACGTAATTAAGTGAGCAGAGAGTGCAGTAACCGTTGTCCATGACGGGGCTCGAGAAGAACCCGGGAGGCGAGCTGTTGTGCCGCGTCAGAAACCCCGACTGGTCGCCGCCGCCGCCACCGTCCTTCGCCTCGACGCCGAACTGATGGAAATGGTGCTTGCCGCCGTGGCCGTGGCCGTGCCCCAGCGAGATCTCGGCCGCACCACTCCCGCCGCCGCCGTAGTGCTGCTGCCTCATCGCGCGCTCCGGCGGCTGCTGCTCCCCTCCCCCGCCCGGCACCGGGAAGAACGTCCGCGCGGTCGCGGCGCCCCCCTCCACCCCCGCCGGCGGGGCGTCAGCGAAGAACTGCAGCCCGCCGCCGTAGCGCGCCGACATCTCCCCTCCGCGCTGCTGCCGCTGCGGCGCCCTCGACGGCGCCGGGTTCATGTGCTAGGCTTCTAGCTATAGCTAGCTAGCTAACCAGACAGGAGTACCTAGCTAGCTTCTCCGCGCGGGGGCGCTGCGTCTGCTGCGTGGTGTCGCTTTTGAGGCCGGTCTTTTCGTCGTCGCGTGCCGGGGGAGCGCAGCAAAGCGGGCGCGGGCGCAGTCAGCCAGCGAGCGAGCGAGCGACTGATCAGCGGAGAGGGGTAGGGGGGATCGGACGACCGGAAATATTGGTGGTGGCTTCGTGGAATCGTGGGAGAAAAGCTGGACGCCCGCGCGCGCTCGTGATACGGTCTCGGGGGCCGGGGCGTGTGGAGGCCGTGCGCCGTGCGCGCGCGCGCGGGTGGGGGATGGGTAGCGAGATGGGGTGCGGTGCGGACGACGTGGACGACAAGTGGATCGTACTATACACTCCCCCCTCTTACTGTAAGCGGCAACTGGCTGGGGCGCTGGCCCGCGCGCGCGACGACGACGACGTCGTCTCTCTCTCGTCCCGATGACGCGCGCGCGCGCTCGGTCATGCGGGGACGCGGGAGGCGTGCGGGACCCCTCGCGCGCTGCGCATTTGGGAAACCGCGGCCAGTCGGCCACCACCACCACCACCACACCGGCGCCGCGCTGCTCGGACTATACACAACCGCGCCGACGGTTTGGGTGATCCAGCTAGTGGTTAATCGATCAGCCATCGGGGCCCGGGTGGGTCCGGGCGTTATAGGGGATGAGATCGATCGGTGCCTCGAATGCGCACAGGGTTCGTTGCATTTGGATCGACAGTTGCTCAGTTGTACGTCACCTGTTGTTATCGTATTTATAAGCTTGTAATAATGGAAGAGTTGTTTAAGTAGGTCTTCTCCTACTTGCAACCCGTGGTCTTCTGTCCTTGTCTTGTGACTCTGTCTAGTTAATTAAACATACGCGCGTGCGTGTTTAGCGGCCGGCTTTGTTTGAGCTAGATACGGTTTATAGAATCACAAACCAGCGAGCATCTAGGACCGATGTGATGACAGTAGCACACTAGCATGTACGTACTCCTGTGGTACAAGCTGGTCAAGTGGCAAGTTTAGCATTAGCTATATACACTCCAAGTCCGTACATGCATGACGGGAAATTCTGTTCAATCGTCTCTCGAGACCGTATGTACTTTGTATGCTAGTTCTCGTGTATTACGCTAACTCTCCGTTTGTGTACTCTCTTCTGTTCAATCTATCTCTTTCCCAAAACTTTCAGAACTACAGGCGCGTGATTTTTCCCTCTCTTTCCTCGGTCAGCTTCCAAACAAGCTACTGCGCATTCAGGTGGTAGTACCAGTTTTGGCCAAGAATCCTCAGGAGTCGGGTCTCTCGTACAGTCGTACTACAGTACTATCACAGTGCACTTGATGCGCTTATAATCGCCCCCATGCATACTGCACATCCAAAAGCAGAAGGGCCCAGAATTCATGTCACGCACGAGCGCTGCTCCCGGCCGCACCACGGCCACATGCAGTCCGCACTTGCTACGACGGCGTACAACTTCTAGTACTATTTGAGAGATCACCGGCTAGCTTCCGACGATGACTGTGACTGTACGAGTGGACGAGGCAGCCAGCTCAGGCAGGCAGGCAGGCATTGCCATCCAAGCACGGACAGAGATGAAGGGAAGCAAGCAACTGCAACTTGGCCGCGCTTTTGGAGTCTCCATGCATCCCCCCTAGCTAGCCGTGGTCTACCGGCCGCTCCAAGTTGGCGTATAGATTTATGCCCACCTGGTACGGAAGCCTCGCGATAAACAACGCCCAACTGCCCAAGTTGGCGAGCGCGAGAGGGGGACACTGGGACAGACAGGAGGACGACGCCCAGCGCGCCCGCGGCCAACCATCCGACGCCAACGTGCGGCCACCTATATATCCTAGGGAGAATTCTCTATATGCATGCCAAATTAGCCTTGTCCCTTATATGCCACTGAAAATTGGCTTTTTCCCTCTATGCCACTAGTTTGAAATTGTCCACCCTCATATGCCACTGCCGTCACCCCTCCGGCTCATCACTGTTAATAGGATGTTAGAATGACATATTTGCCCTTACTAGTTGCTATAGAACCAGTTATAACAATTAGGTGAAATTTGGCAAGATATTTGCATGACAAAGTAAAGTTGGTTGATATGTATATGTATGTACATTTTAGTGCTAATATAGCTGTTGGATCTGAAAAATGAATTTTTGCATCACCACATACAGTACCATCACATATGAATTTCCAACAAAAGCATGAAAAATCCGATTTTCCACGTACAGTACCAATGTATCATCACATATGAATTTGTAACAAAAGCATGAAAAATCCAATTTTCCACCAAAAGCCACATACAGCTGAAATAACATGGTCATGACATAAATGTTGAAATCAGCACATACAGTGCATCATCTCTCATCACAGATTTGCATACAACCCCAAAATGCATCACTATCATTAAGTGCCACATACAGTACCATCACATATGCATGTCTTGCAGTGCCATAGAAGTGCCATCTCACCACATACAGTACCATCACCATATACATGACTAAAATGCATCAGCACCATAGTACCAAAACGCTAGATTAACTGGAGTACTACATAAGTACCGTGCAACCAGAGATCACAGTACCAAAATATGTGAGCACATGTTAATTAAAAAGGATCCCTAATTAAAATTTAGAGATTTCTTTTTGCTCCTTGTACTCATGGCTGGACTATCAGGAGACACAGGAATGAAGTTGCCTTTTTGTTTGACTTGTGCCAAAGGCGTAGTAGCAGCGCTATCCTTTGTATTCTTCCTAGGAGCTATCTTGGCTTTAGTTTTGGTCTGTCTTAGCCTTGGCCTTAGAGTTCTCTCCAGGCGCTGCTAGTGGCATCAACACACTCAAAGGTTCAGGTTGGTTGGATCCTGTCACTGACCTTGATCTGACATTGACATAAATGGTAAAGGAAAATGTAAGCATATGAGGAAGTCATTATTGCAATGGTAGATGGAACTAATATACCTAACTGACCCTGATGAAGTATTACTGAGGTCCTGTCCTTTTTTCCCGGTTTGACAACTTTTGCTTGGTGGATATGTCATTGTTGCAGACAATATTGCATTTTGAGCAGAAGATGCACTAGGAACATGTACAATGCTAGTTTCAGCATGTGCATTACTAGACTTTTGCCTTTTTTTTGGAGGTCCCCTGCAAACGAGTAGTAGGTTGTATAACAGAATTTACAATGAGGGTAAACATAAAATATATCACATTATTATCAATTAAAAAGGTTACCTTTCAGCTAGCATTGCTTGGTAATCAGCAGGATCACCCTCTCTGCAACTATGCCAATGATGACCATAACCCTTACACAACGGGCACTAATGCTTGCCCTTGTTAACTCCTCCTGGGTTGCCCTTTTCACTACAACCTCTATATCTTGTCCTTTTTGGCCTGCCTGCTACCTTTTTAGAACCGGTGGATGCAAGAAGTCATGGGTAGGATTGGGCCATTGAGATTTGTCAACCAAAGGAGGGATTACTTTTGAATAAGCCATTTGGAACCTACTAACAGAGTAGCACTCATCTACAAAATTCTCAAGTTTGCAGCCTCGGATGGATGTGATAAAAGCTATAGCATGTGTGCATGGTTTGCCTGAAACCTGCCACTCTCTACAGCTACATGTCCTATCTGTAAGATTGACAACAAACCTACCACCAGAACAAAAGAACAAACATGGTATACTTAGGAAGTGCACAAACTTGGCAATTAAGTTGCAATGAACATAAAAAAAAACTAACCTGTGGCCACTTCCTCCCTTGCACTCCACCTCTGCTAATGCATCATCACTTCTTGTAACCTCATGGTTCAAACCCCTGCTCTTTTCATTCAATTCATTCATAATGTGTGGTAGTATATTCCCTTCTAGCTTTTTTGAAATTGATCTTCTCCTGTTCCACTTCACCATTAACTTGTGCCTAATCTTGTCCATGAAATCCACCAAGTGCAATCCTTTATGTGGCCTGATCCAGCTATTGAAACATTCAGCCAAATTATTTGTAACATAATCAACCTTGCATTGCCCAGAGAATTGGCTTCTAGTCCAAAGCCTAACATGGTTTTTCCTTAAATAAGCCATAGCCTCTGGCTTTGCTTCATCCATTTTCTCAATGTGCTTCTGGAAAAAATATGGATTATATGAGTATGCTGCAGGCCAGAGGTTATCATCAAACACCTTTCCATGAAACCTCTTTTTGAAATTATTCACCAAATGTAGCATGCATTCTCTATGTTCTACATCACGAAAAATGTTATGTACTGCAGTATCTACTCCTTTCCCTGCATCTGTACAAATTGTGAGACCTTCTGGATTACCAATAGCATCCCTAAAGTCTTTCCATGAACCATTTGTAGTTTTCATTGGTCTCTGAGTCCATCACTCCAAAGGCTACTGGGTACATCCAGTTATGCCCATCAACAGCACAAGCAGTTGCTAGCTGTCCCTTGAACTTGCCGGTCAAAAAAGTGCTATCTATTGCTACATATGGCCTGCAACCATCTCGAAAACCATCTATGCAAGGTTTTAGTGTAAAGAATAGTCTTCTGAATCTCAACTTATTCAGCACTGTGTGGTGATCAATTACAACAAGGCTTCCAGGGCATTCTCTTTCAATTATTGCCTTGTAACTGTACAATTTGTCAAAACTGTCCTCCCATTTACCATACAACTTTTCAAGAGCCAATTCCTTCCCAGCATATACCCTCTTGTAGTTAATCAGAACTTTGTGAGTTTCAAGGATCCTTCTTTGCAATTCTTTTGCTCCCACGGTTGCATCCTCTAACAACCAATCCTTAACCTTTTCACATATCCAAGCCTTACTTGCAGGTTTAATCTTTTCACTTCTTCTTGCACTTGAACAAGAGTGAGGCACACTATTGGTCTTCACCTGTCAAAACAACAAAGGAACAAAAACATTGTTTCATTAGCAACTGCAAAACTATGAAACCTGTTGAAAAAACAATAGAAATTAAGTTATAACCTGCATTGTAACACCGTCTTGCATAGTTGAGGCATGAATTCTCCACCCACATCCCTCAGCAGCACACTTGGCAATGAACCTCCCTGGGTCAGTCTTAACAATGTTATACTCGAATTCATGTTTAATAGCATGCTGAGCTATTGCCAATCTGAATTGCACAATGTTTTCATACACACTATTTTCTGTCATCGGTGGATCATTACTATCATATGCCACCTCTGGATCTTTAACAGGAATAGCATCTTCGCCCACCCACTCCTCCTCCCCTTCCTCCTCCTCCGCGGCGTCCTCCACCCACTCCTCATCCCCATCGTCCTCCTCCCCCTCCTCCTCCCCCCCTCCTCTACCTCAACCTCAACCTCATCCCTTTCCTCACTGTCCACCTTAGGCACATCAGTAGGCTCTTTCTCTTGCCCAGCATTAGTGACAGCCACAACAATTTCATCATCTGAATACATATCCTCATCGTCAACACCGACATGTTCATTTTGTTCAAATAAATTTTCCAAGTACATATCAACAACTGGTTGTGTGCTGCTGCTAGGCTGAGATATAGTAGCCTGAGATGGCATTGCAAGAGATGGAGTACATGGCACCTCATGTATATTAACTGCATTAGGTTCTGCCCCACTAACTACCTTTTTAGGTGTTGGCCAATCAGCAAGTGGCAGAACTACAGCTTGCTCATTGTTCTTATGAATTTGAATCAACATAGATATTTCCTTGCTAGTCATATTCTTGTCAAACATTTCTAGCATTGACTGGTCTGAGCATACTTGAGGGTAGTTTCTGTTTACTGGATCAAAATAGTTCATTGTTACAAATTCATTCACCCCCCATGGGTACTTCTCTCTAATGTGATCAATAAAATCCTTGAAGTTTGTTCTGTCGCTATATATCACTTCCTCTGTTCTAAATGTAAAGTTTTCTCTACTTTGGTGCCCATGGAGCCTGATTTTCAACAGATATGCTTTACCAGGATCCATCCTATCCAAAATGCATGCCAAAAAAATAAGTGCATCCTACCATGTATGCAACAAAAATCATTGCCAAACGGGAAGGGGAAAATGGACACATACCCTTCAGGCACCCAAGATTGGGGAGGCGATTTGCTTGCTTGAGCCTTCATCTTTCGCTGTTGTCTTGGTCGCAGCCACCACCTCAAGCCGCAGCAGTAGCCGCCACCGCGGGAGCTGCCGCGGGAGCCGCAGTAGCCGTCCGCGCGGGCGCCACAGCTTTGAGGAGTAGCAGCAGCAGCCGCCGTGGCTGCCGCAGCCACCACCTCAAGCCGCAGTAGCTGCCGCCGCCGCCTCAATCAGCACCAGCCGCCGCCGCCGCTGCCTCAAGCAACAGCAGCAGCCATAGCCGCCGCCTCAGTCTGCACCAGCCGCCGCCGCCACCTCAAGCAGCAGCTGCAGCCGTAGCCGCCGCCACAACCTCAAGCAGCAGAAGCAACCGCCGCCGCCACCTCCTCAAGCAGCAGCAGCCGCCGCCACGGGAACCGCAGCCACCGCCGCCGCCACCACCTCGCGCAGCAGCAGCAGCCGCCACGGGAACCGAAGCCACCGCCGCCACCACCACGTGAGCCCTTGCCGTTGCCCTAGCCACCTCGCCGCCGCCGCCGCCGTCGCCGCCGCCGCCGTCGCCCGTCGATACGATTTGGGGATAGCTAGGGTTTGGCGATAGCTAGCTGCTGCAGTTTGGGGATGGCTGGTGCGGGAGTTCGGTTAGTTTGGGCCATATCCTCAACTTGGGCCAAAGGGCATTTTTGCCATTTATGCAAAAAACTGACAACTAACCCCATCCTATTAACAGTGATGAGCCGGAGGGGTGACGGCAGTGGCATATGAGGGTGGAACAATTTCAAACTAGTGGCATAGAGGGAAAGAGACAATTTTCAGTGGCATAGAAGGGATAAGGCTAATTTGGCATGGCATATAGGGAATTCTCCCTATATCCTACTATTATCTCTCCCGTGTATACATAGCGCGCGCGACGCGGAGCGGAGGTGGGTGTGGGTGCAGTGGCTAGCTGCTGATGCTTTGGTTCGGGGAGACGCATGTTTCTCTCCTCCGTGCGATCACCGGCGCCGCGCGCTAGCTTGAATAATGAACGGATGGTATGTGCTCGTCTCATGAACGGGGTGGACATCTAGCCATTTATCGCATATAAAATAAAAGGGTAATTTGGAACCATACCATTATAATTTTGCAAAGTTTAAGATATGTCATCGGTATCTCAATGACAAGTAGGACCCATATGAGTCGATGACATGTGGGTCAGGATGGCATATATCAAATTTTGTAAAATTATAATAACACGGTTTCAATTTTCCATGGTTAATGAAAATTGAAGATAAAATAGTATGTAATATATGACTCCACAAGTATTCAAGTTCAAATTTGATTTATACAAGTTGTAACGAAAACAACAAATTAAAATCTAATTAGTTTACGTATATTCACAATTAATTTTGTTGTTTTTGTTAAAATTTGTAGATGTCAAATTTGAATTTATATATTTATGAAGTGATATATTTCATATTAATATATCTTGTCTTTTTTTTGAATTTTTTTTCATAGATATTTAGTTGACATGCAATAAATAGGTAAACGTCCACCCGGGTGATTAAAATCCCTCTCTGACGTTACCTAGCTAGCTATAACACTATCTATATACTCTCTCCAACCAAAAGTTTAAGACTTATTTTATTTTCTATTTTTTTCAAATGAATTAGGCATATTTATAGCCTCCAATGCTAAATTAAATTATTGATCGAAATTCAAGTACCTATCTTAATATTTACTGTTGCGTGTCTTTGGTCTTCGTTATATGCAAGCTAAGTGAGCTATTTCTTTTCTTGATTTTGGTGATAGAAAAATAAGTCTTAGATTTTTGGATGGAGGGATTATGACACAGTGGCATCGGCTTGCATAATTGCAGTCGCATAGGTTGGCCCTGTCCAACTAGGTCACAGGGTTAGCGTTCATCGTCGTAGGTCGGAGATGGATTAGAAAACGATATAAGTAGCCGGTAAGAATGATTCCTAGTAGCATGCACTCTGCGTGCATCATAGAAATTCCATGCATGTGAGGGGGTGTTTAGATCAGGGGTGTAAAGTTTTGGCATGTCGCATCGGGTATTATATAGAGTGTCGTATGAGGGTGTTCGGACACTAATAAAAAACTAATTACAGAATTCGTCAGTAAACCGCGAGACGAATTTATTAAGCCTAATTAATCCGTTATTAGCAAATGTTTACTGCAGCATCACATTGTCAAATCATGAAGCAATTAGGCTTAAAAGATTCGTCTTGCAAATTAGTCACAATTTGTGCAATTAATTATTTTTTAGCCTATATTTAATACATCATGCAGGTGTTCAAATGTTTGATGTGACAGGATGAAAAATTTTGAGGTGGGATCTAAACAGGACCTGAGACGCATATATAGTCTTTTTGGTGAGTTTAAAGTAAGATTTTTTTCACATAAAACGAGAGAAAGTTTATTAGTATATAATTAATTAAAATTTAATAATTACAAACTTTAAAAATAATTTGTTTGATTTTAGTGAAACATTTTCTATATAGAATGTTTTTGAAAAAATCATATCAGCAGTTTGAAATGTGTGCTAATGAAAAATGCACTGGTGGAGAAACCATCATTGATCGGTCGACCCAAATCTACAATAGTCCCAGTTTCATTAAAAACCGGGACTAAAAACGATTTTTAGTCCCGGTTTATAAGAACAACAGGACTAGATGATTTTTAGTCCCGGTTGGTTCCATGTCAGACCGTGTCAGGCGCCTAGGATCTTTAGTCCTGGTTTGTAACACCAACCGGGACTAAAGATCTAACTTTAGTCCCGATTGGTGTTACTAACCGGGAATAAAAATCAACACGTACTATATAATCCCTATTACTTATCCTCTTCTCTCGTTCACGCAACAAACTCTGTCTCTTTCTTTCTTTCTTCCTCTCTAACTCCTGCCTTATCTCTTTCTTCCTTCCTCTCTTTTTTTTTTGATCGAACGAGTGTTAACAGTGAAATTTGGTAAGCCCGGAGTAGTCATCGGCTTAGAGTCAGCATCGGCTTGGAAGTCCTGAGATTAGCCGATGAGAGTTGTCAAGTCGTCAGTTGTCGGATTCTTGCTATATTCGGTTAAGGAAATTGATCTACTAAAGGAAGCTTATCCAGAAGAGACCGAGTTCAAAGAGAATGCGGCATGGTAAGTTATCTATTAATTAGGAATAGTTTGTTAGTTTCCTTTTATCTCTAGGAAAGTGTGTTTAGTGTCTTATAAGGACTTTATCTTTTTCTTTTATCTTTAGAAAAGTTTCTTTCTTGTCCGACAAGGACTTGTATCAACCCATGGGTATAAATATGTACACCCGGGGTCTATGTAATCTATCTCCACGATCAATACAACTCAGCGCATCGCCACCATCTTTCCCGAGGTTTTTACTTATCTTCCGGCGGGATTTGGGCACCTGACGCGGGGCTGCATTGGTTCAGTTCGATCTCCGGCGAAAGGGTAAGTCCTACGTTCTGTCGGGCCCTGGTGAATCTGTCATCTACGTCGGCATCGTTCAAGGCTGCATCGCTTCGATCTCTTGGATCGCTCTGGTTTGGTTGATTGATTTGCCTACCTGATATCTCAAGTCTATCTCTAATTCCATTGTGTTTAGAGACGCATCGGTTTAGTTGGGACTGTCTCGGTTAGGTCCGATCTTCTGTCTTAGCCGATATATCTCTACAATTACAATGCTGTTCTAAATAGATTTGTTATATCCATCACATTAGACAGATCTATCGGCTCATCGAGTATTAGATTATCATATACAATCTCGTGCTGCATCGGTTAGGTTCGACCTACTAGATTGTGTTGATAATATAAGTCTTGCTAAGCTAATAGGTTCATGCTAATATTTTATCGGGGTGCTAGCCGATAAGTTATCGGGACGTTGCATCGGCTTATAAGGATTACATATATATACAAGTTGGATTTAGCCGATGACAACAAAGGTTTCACTGTTTAATCTAATCTTGTGGATTTCATGACATTGGACCTCCAGCCGATGTGTGCTTTAACCTTCGGATCAGTGCTTATTCTATCATATCAATGCTAGCCGATTGGTTTATACTGGATTATATTGTTATTTTATTACATCATCAACAACCGATTGCCATTATACCATTATCTACATTGGACATATAGCCGAGTTCTTACACCCTATCGGCATCGGCTATTATCGGCATCGGCTAGAATCACTACATCGGCTTGTCAGCTGATCGGCTGTTTTGATCTACTATTTGCATATCCTGTCAGTTGCAGAATCAAACCGACTGGCACGCCCGCATCTCATCAAGATTTGGACATGCACAAGATTTGGACCGGCACGGCGGGCCGTGGGGCGGGGCGGCGGCCTGTGCGACGGCCGGCGTGGCGGCGCGGTGGGGCGGCGGCCGGCATGGCGGCGTGTAGCGCCCGTTCCGTCGTGGCGCCTAGCGGGAAAATTATCTCTTAAAAACCCTAATTGCGAAATTTGTTTCTTTGCTTGTTGTCTAGTGTCCGTGCCATCTTAAGATCTCAATCCCCGATCTATCGTCGAGTCCAATCCCGAATCCAATCCTTCCAAATCAAATTCCTCCGCAAAAGTCTATTTTGCCTCCCCCGGGGGTCGATGGGCCGATTTCCTCCCGGCCCATCTCCCCTTCTCCGGCGGCCGTCTCCCCTTCGCCGGCGCCGGTCCGATGCCGGGGGAGCGTCGGCTCACCGCGCGCGCGTGCGCGAAGAGCCGCGCCGAGTGCTCCTCCTCCTCCGCTCCGCCCGCGCGCGTGCGCGTGAGCCGCCGCGCCGAGCGCCCCCTTCCCCTCTCCTCGCTCTGCCGCGCCTGCGTAAGCCGCCCGCGCCGAGCCAAGTCCTCCCTCTCCGCTCCCTCGCTGCCACTTCCCGCGCGCCGTGTTCGCGTGCGCACGCCCGCGCGGACACCGCCCGTTGCAAGCCGCGCGCGCGTGCCGAGTGGCCGACCGCCCGGTCGCCGCCGCCGTCATCGCCGTCTGTCACCGCTCGGCCCCCGCCACTCCGCGCGCAAGCCGCCAAGGGACGGAGGCAGCGCCCCTCCTCCCTCTGTCGCGTCGCCCCCGCTCCCCTCCTCCTTTTTCCCGAATCGGCAAAAGGGCAAGCCCCTTTCTCCCCCTCCTTTTTCCCCTTTTCCCCCGCCGGCGTCATCCTCCCTGTCGCCGCTTTGGCCGCGACCGCCGAGCGCAGCTCGCGCCTTGACCGCCCTAAGTCGGTTCCCAAACCGACATTGCCGCCCCCTTTAAACCCCAGCTCCTTCCCCTCCAATCTCCCTCGTTTTCGCCTCCTCGCCATAGCTGCCGCCCCCGTGCTCTGTTCGCCGTCGCCGTTCGTTGTTGCGCGTGTCGAAGGAGTCGGCACGAGCAAGGACGCGGAAGGGGACTTCGGCCGCGCCCTCTCCTTCCTCTTCCCCGGCCCGAGGCCGGAGAGATTACTCCCGCGCCGTCGGCCTCTCGTCACAGCGCCCCTCCTCATCTCGGTGATGCCTCCCTCCGTTCTTCCTCCTCGCTCCATCTCCCCCCCTAGCTTTCGGTAGTAGCTCGAGTAGACTCCCCGTAGTTAGCCGGCGCCGCCCCGACCGTTGTCGTCGCTCGCCGCGTGCTCGCCGCTCGAGCTCCGTAGCACCCACACGTCGCCAGCC